GCAGAAAGCACTCCTAGGAGAACAAATTTTTTCTAATAGTTTGCAATGAACAGCAACAGCTCTGCTTTCTCAATCTGCTCCAGCCAGATTCACGAATATATGTATATAGCTGTCCAATGATTTGATTATTAAGAATTTGACAAAATGTGGTAGGAAATTACTTCAGCTAATGCAGTTATAGCTTGTCTGTATAACCTCATATGCAAGAAGCAAGGCATCCTCAAATAAAAAAAAAACAAAATGAAAGCAGTAGCTCCTTTAAGACTGATATTCGGAGGCTCAGTGCAGCAGCATTTTAGATCGAATATGCTAGCAGACACATAAAAGGCACACAATCCTATTCATATACTTTACAGTGTCTATTTAGCTTTCTTTTCTGTGGCCCACTCTTTCTTATAAAGTCAAAAATTACTCTGCTGGAGAGCCAGAAAAGAAAATGAGAGGTATTGTCTAGCACACATGGCTGCAGCCCGAGCCCTAAATATTCACTTCTAAGCGGCAAAGTTGATTACTTTCTGAACTTGTCTTACTGTCCCTACCGACACTCCATGCATAGCTCTTTGTTGGGATGAGATATGTATTTGTTTGGAAAAGTTAATTATCCTCTATGAATTGAACAGAAATTATGAGCCTGTATATATTTATAACTTAAGATAAAACAACAATCAGTGCTCTTGGCTTTCCTGAAGTTGCATTTTGTTTTACTGGTTTTAGAATATTGAGCAACATTTTGTTATTTTGCTAAATAATTATTCCTGAAAAATTCTTGTTACAGAGTGTTCTCTGTTGCACCTCAGTTGTGGGAGCAAAAGGCATGTGGCAAAGCAAGCTACTTGATCTTTTTCCTCTCAGGCAAGTCCAAATTCCTCAATGAAAATGACGAAATAAGGATTCTTAGTATGATCAATAGAAAGCTACCTATCTTTCCTAGTGACTGCTTATATTTGCAGGCTTATAACCATTTCTTAGCTTGTCCTTTCCCTTCTTATTTATTTGCTACATGCAGCAGTCTCAAAGATTCAAAAGGCTGTGCATCAGTTCAGACTTAGAAATCTGTATTGAAGTGTGTAACTGAAATACAGAAGGGAAGAATATCTAACTTATTTTCTAGCGGTAAAAGAATTATTTGCAGTATTTTTATTCTCTGTTAAAGTCCAATTTGAAAAGGGGACAAACTGGAAAATAGCACTGATTTTTGTCACGCTATGTCAGGCCTTCAGTCTAGCCCTCTGCTCCTAGCAATAGCAAATACCAGAAATATCAAAGAATGCTTGCTTGCAATTCCATATCCAAAAACAGAAGCACACTTGAGCCAGAAATGAGTGCAGCTAAAGATCTATAATTTCTAATATTATCATATTAGTTAACATTAGAATTGCATGTAGTAGGTATTATTTCTTATGATAAAATAAATTTGTAAAGGAGAATGCTCTTATAGTAACATGCAAGCCATGAATTCAACAATTGCAGTAGATTTTTTTTCTAGGTATTATAGGAAAAGCTGGCAAAATAATCTGTACACATAGATGTTTAAAGCCCCACATTTTTTTGGTCCAAAGCTATAAAAACTAAAAGAAAAACCCACCATATAAGATTGATAATAAAATCTACTCCAAAAAAATGTTTTACTGTAAGGAAGTATCAAACCAAAAACTATCTCAACTGCCTCTGCTAGCACATGTAAGCATGGAGAGTTGCTTCCTGTAGGTTTGAATGACTTAAATAAATATGAAAATACTGGTTTTCTGAAGGCAAGACAAGGATATGTATATAGGTATGTGTCAAGATAAGTCTGTGTCAAGTAAGAAGTGCAGAAGAATTGCTCAACATTGCAGAATAACTGAATAAAGTCTCCAACACTATAGTAGCTTCTGGAAATTGCAGTATAATTTGTGTCCTGTATTTCGATGAAGGAGGAAGAATTATTTTGAAGTCAATTTAATGCATGTGCCAGGTGCTTGGATTAGCAGCTTTGAAGAATGAAGTCCAAAGTACAGAGCGGCATGGCTGTCCTATATATTCTATCTCATTCTGAAGGTTATGCTTTCTTTAGAGGCAAGAGAGTAATTTAATCTCCATGTTCAGCTCCTGGCTGAAAGCCCATGGAATTAGAATCTTCACCACTTTCAGTGGGCTGTAGTGTCAGCCTTCTGTCATTTGACCTGGTCCTGCAAGTCGTTTCTCTTCCGTAATTCTGAATAAGATGCTCCAGGACTGCGCAGTCTTGATTTATTTTTCAAGACCAGGAGTGCAAAGAAATACTGCATCTAGTCATGGATATGTGTCCACTAGAACGACCCTCAATACATTTCTCAACAACACTGAAAACCTAAATTTGTCTTTCATTCTCTCAAATCTTGGCTGAAATTATTTCATTCTTTCTTTCTCATTTAATTCTGCCTTTCCAACCTGTTTGCTGTCTTAATGCAGGAGACAGTTCTTTATCTTTCAAAAAAAAAATTGGATTTTTTTTTTAAAGATAAAGAACTAATGCAACTAGTCAGGTCAATCAGAGCACAATGTACTACCTCCAAACAACGAAAAGTGCTGTTAGGAAAAATCAGACCTTAATGTCTAACCTGTAAGTATTCAACTGGGGGGAAGGAACTTATTAAATAATGCAGTGATTTACAAAAGAAAAATTCCAGTACATGTGTTTTTTTTTTTTCTTGGCCTTAAATACCACCAAGTTCTTTACTGATTTGAATAATTAATGTTTGTAGTATTTTCCTATGGACAACAGGGGGAAACCACATTACTGCTGTAACATGAATAACTGCTTTCCTACATTTACTTACTTTCTGCAGTAATAAATACACATAAGGCTTAGTTTAAGAATTTCACAATATACTTAAATTTCTGATCAAGCTGATTTGAATTAAGTCCAACATGCTAACCTTTTTCAATAGAACTTTACAACATACTATAAAACTGTTGTTTAAACAATGCTTCACATAATTGCCACCAATAAATGATACCTTTTATTGCCGTTAGAACACTCTTGGTTACCGGTTTCCAGAGATGACTGCAGTAATCTGTATGTAACTTTGTGTTATCTTAGTAATTGTATGGTTTTCTTTTTAGAATTCAGAAACTGGAAAAGTTTAAGAAAACATGCAAAATGCTGAGAATACACGTAAGTGAAATATTTAATGTCCATCGTTCATAAAAGTTACATTGTTTACATAGGGTTCATTAGTATATAATAAAAATGTCATCTTAATGAAAGATTTTCTGGCAAGTCTTTTATATGTTAATTTGTTTAACATACCTTTGGCTATACAGCTAAATAGGAATATATTTTAAAAAATCTTTCTGCAATAGTTGCTTAACAGTTACAAAACCTCATTATTAAGAATTGGTTATTGTTATACACTTGTTTGTTGCTTGTAAAAATCATCTGCGATTTGGACTGGGAAACTTAGGACCAACTTCTTCTAACATACTTGCATAGTGACCATGTAAACAGCTTAGGGATCCACAAATTATATTCTTGTACTCTAAAAGTGATTGAGAATTTTACATACTGTGCTGTACTGCTTATGTTTTCTTATATTGATGAAGAATTTGAGGATTGTTTTATTGTTGATGCTGATGGGATTTTTTTTTTAACACATCAGTTTTATATGAGAAGTTTAAAAAATTAAAAAGTTAACACTAAAGGAAATAATTTTACACTGTGCAACAGTATTGCTACCTCATTCATTTCAATTATAGATATATATAACATTGGAACTGCACTGTACTGCTTCTTTTGAAAAGAAAAGTTTAAATTAGTTGAAACAATTAGCTATGTGTTTACATAAATTTAACTATGTTTGCATCAAACAAAATGTTTATTAATGAAAGCTATTATACAAGAAACAGCAAAGAGAAATTCATCATACAGAAATGTACACTATATGTGACAGATGGAAAAGTGCATGCAGATTTGTCTCGTTAAAAAAAAAATAAATTCAGAAACAATTGGACTAAAGTTACTGAATTTTGATTCCTATGGTCTCAAATGAGTGAAAAGTTCTCTTTGAATTTACAAAAGTCCATTTAACAGATATGACTAGTACACATTAGCAAGCAAGTGGAATGAATGCGCTCAGATTTTATTTTACAAGTACTTGTGCTTGACAAATGTGATTTTTTTTAATTTTTTTTTTTTTAAAGAAAAGTTTTCTTCAAATATGGACTGGGTAGATTGCTGCCAGGTTGCTCTGGTTTTATACATAGTTCCTCTAAATTTGTTTTTAATACCACACCATTTGTTGAAGCTTTCAGTTTTGTTAATTAGACACCATGAAATAACATATGTTTTGTTAACATTCAGGAAATGACATCAAGTCTTTTCTTTTTATTTTTTGGCTCAATAGATTTTTAAATGTATGATTATCATAACCTAATATTGTCTTTGTCTTCACTGCAGTGGATTTCCGATCAAACTTTTCCCCTTCTTTTAATACTTTAGGGAATTTTCAAACGTCGGGATGTTTGGCTGTAATGCCCCATGATTTGTTCTCCCTGAAAGAAATCATAGTGACAATTTATTAAACTACAGAGCAACCTGGCTTTTCGGGGTCTGCAATTCTATTTTGTGTTCAATATACCTAGCATTAAATCTTGATTCATTTCATTATATTATTTAGGTTATATTTTTCATGCAATTACTTTAGCTGCTAGTTTTCTGGCTTTTTTTAGAAGTCTAAGGCAGGGTTTCAGTATCAAATCAGTGGGGCATTACTTTGCATGTTCAAAAAAGGAGGTTAAAAGGCTAAAATCTAAACTGCACCAGCACTAGCATATACATTGAATATGAAGAAATTGAAAACCTAAGAAGGAACCATATTTAAATATATTTAAAAGGCTGTGTTTCCGTGTTTCATACCAATTGTTCACAGGTACCCTAAAAGCAAAGAGACGCACTGGTACATGTAGACTTTAAATTAAAAGGAATAAAAAGAAACAAACAAAACAAAACAAACAAAAAAACTGATGGGAAATAAAACTCCTTAGATTCAAAATGGTTTATTCACACAAATTTAATAGGATATATCACAATTGTTTGGTCCATAAATATTTAGGGGAAATAGTTTCTATACAATGCATTTATCAATAAACAAAGAAACATGGACAATTTTGCTAGACCACTTACTGTACTATAAACACGAAGCTCAATATATAAGATTATTGGATTTATCAACTATATCTGAAAGAGTGCACAACTGCTTTCTATGACATGTTTGTCCCCTCTAACAGGATACACCATAAAAAGAGTTTCAGAAATAAGAGGTAAAACAGTACAAAACTAGTGAGGTGTCAAAAGGGCTTAAAACAGTTAATTTAACAAACAACACATATATCCTGATTTTTCACAAACTTACTCCCAAGGTATATCATAAGGCACATAGTAGAACTGAGTTTTAATTAGTCTACTTAATAAAGTAGATCTCTAGTACCATATATTGTTCTGTCAAAGAACAAAATTTATAAGTATCAATATTTTTACCTGTAAAAGTGTATTAATAAAGATCTCAGCCTTACCAAGGTCGTTTGGTCTGGTTAGTGGTAAATGCCCATAAGGTAATAGAAATAGGAAAAGTCAAGATTTAATATCCGTAGAAGATGATAACCATACTTGCTAAATATATAATGGCAAACACACCTTTCTTCTATTACAGTGTTAACATCTCTTCCATCATCTTTTTTTAAAAATAAGCTACTTTTCTGTGCTAATTTTCTAAAAACCCTGAGCAAAAATTACAATAATGCACTTTAATGTGGGCAGTGAACTGTCAATATGTAACCACACATTTATACAGCCAAAAAGGACACCTTTAAAATATATTAAATAGCCACTTTGACCACCAAAAAAAGAGATTTGATGGTGTCTAAAAAGTGGGATATATGTGCAAAGTTATTCTTAACAATCCACTAAAAGCAAGACATAGATCTTGACTGATTTTTGTTCGGTTTTGTTTCTGAGACTCTCCACAATCTAATTGGTGTTCAACTACAATAAAAGGATACAAATGAACATTCACCACTGCCCAGACCATTCAGACTTTTAGCTTAAATAAAATTAAAAAAGGAAAGATCACTATTGTAAACTAAGAAATGTATTCAGATCAGCATCCACAAGGCTTCTGAGTTTATCTGCTTTGAAATTATTCACTGCCAATTCCCATTTTTGTAAGAATTTTTGCTAGCTTTTTTTTTTCTGTAATAAAAAGTTTAAAAAGTTAAAGTATATGTTAGAGATATTAATGAACAAAAGATTTTAAGTTCATGTGTTAAACATAGTGTCTGATACAATCTCAGGAAATATCTAAAGTAAATTCAAAATAGTAATGTATAAATTGTGCTGAGATAATTTTCCTTAAACATCTTATTAAATTATATTTTGCTTATTTCCATTTTCCCTGAAAAAAAGTATGATTTATCAAAAAGTCACTTAGCACACATGCACACTTCTTCTGGGAAATTATTTATGTGCTCACTAAAGTAGGTGGGCAACCTCCTGTTTGCTTTAATGGTACAGTATCAAGGCCATGTAGTGAACTGTTCTAATTTTTTTTTCATTCCAAATCAGAGCTGCTTGACAAAAGATGAAAACCCCTCCCTCTGCAATATTTTGAATCAGTAGGACTCCTCACTTGAACTGTTATTCTGCTGTCATTACTTTAACATATACAGGAGTGAGCTCATTTTGTATCCAGTGTTTTCCGGATCTTGCCTCCTTGCCTTGTTCTCGTACAGGACACAACTTTGGAGGCCAATAGCCTGAGCCTGCCATCCTCACCCACATGCACGCTCATCACTGGGTCTCTCTCTCCAAACCCTCCACTCAGTCACAGCTCTCAGTGGTGGCCAGGGACATTCCAGCTGGGTGAAGAACTGGCAGAGGAGAATTTAGCTATCCCAGTAAGAATCCCCAGTGCTCAGGAAGGATCAGGCTTGTGACTAGTGCCTTGGAAAAAAGCACTGCACAACCAGTCTGACTATTCCAATGAGAACTTTAATTCATTTTGTATTTATTTTTCAGCATTTGAAAACTTTCAGATGTGTTATAAAAATTAAGTAAAATTTGGGGTTCTTAAATGCTGTAAGTAAATATTCAATCCTGAAGCAGCATTGTTTTGGCTACAATTAAACTGATTCCTATCTGATTATCAAGGAGGGAAAAGACTCTTTTTTTAAGTGGCAATACTCATTTTTCTCAAGGTACTGGAAATAAGTAATATACAATTTTAAGAGGCACTTATTAGAATGCTTCATAACCTTCTCTTCAGTTACTTGATGAATTTAAAAAATTTGAGTACAATTTAACAACAATAAATGTTCATTTATTATAGCAATATATTACTTCAAACTCATTTGCCAAGTGGCTGCAGATGCTACACATGAAGCTGCTTATTTTCCCAAATATTTTGTGGGTTTGTTATTAAAAAAAGAAAAAAAAAAGGCTTGAAAATAATAATAATATTATAATAATAATAATGAAAAGTAAGAATTAAAAAAAAAATAAACCAAACTGAAATGTTAGAAAAGGTTCGTTAAGGTAGTTTGTGAGGGGCTCCCGGATTCGTGGCTGTCCAAGTTAGAGGTCACTGATGTCACTACAGTGATAGTGGGATTGGTCAGGTCTGTTAAAGTGGTCGCAGTGCCGGGTGGAGTGAGTGCGCCGCTGTCTGCTGAGGGCGGTGCCGGTAGTGAGGTGCCATCAGCTTTATCGACACCCCCATTCTCCTGCCGCAAAAGGTTCCTTCTGAATTTGGCTCTTGCGTTTTGAAACCAAACCTGCAAACCAATCCCAATTGATTTCTTTACCGATGCTTGCTTTGTTTTGTTATATTTTGTCTTTGTTCTTGCTTTTAAGTAATTGTTGGTGTTTGTTCATGTGTGGCAAATAGACTAAATCCCTCTATAGCGTCGCTTGTTACTTGTGGTATTGACTCCTTCACAGGCAGGACCCTGCATACAAGGCCCAGTGCTACAGGTGCTCACTGGAATGTTTCAGCCCAGTGTGCAGGCCTCATAGAGCAGCCTTAAGAAAAAATCTGCTCACTCACCCAAGGAAAGCGACTTTCTTGATGTCCATGTAGTGTATTCTTGGCTTGGGTAGGTTTTAGGTCAGGACACATAAAGATTGAGGCAGAGGGTGAATGAGCAGATTTTTGCCAAGGCTGAAAGTTTGCCTTGATCATTTTAAAAGACCAAAGAGGAAGGAGGGGTAGTTACAACATCCCTATCATACAGATTGTTGATACAGGTCACCTGGTCTCTCTGTTCTGTAAGGCTCACTGAAAATGTTTTTAGGCAACATGTAACACAGACAAGGAATTGCAGCTAATAGATTCTACTTCTACCTCCATCGCTCCCCTTCTTTGGCACTCTGTGTTTAATATACACTTCGCTGAGATAGTGCGCACTCTATAGGGATGTTTTTATAGTGTAATTTTCTAGGCTGTCCTTCACAGAGAAGTGACATTTTACTATGTAGGCCCTTAATAGTAACAGTTGCCTAACAGGCATTGAGAGAAGGAGCCGGCTGGTCATGGAGGATCATATTGGCCAAAGCTTCCTTCCCACATATCAGGGGATCTGCTCACTGAGGGGCCATATTAACTATTTCAGGGGAGCCCAAAGGCTTCACCCAGTGTGTATAAATTTGGTATATTTTCTACCTCTGCCCTTAATAAGGTCACCACTGAGAGACTACAGATCCCAGGAATCCTACTGGGTCAGTAGATTCTTGAGACAGTTTCCTAATGTTGAGGATGCAGCTAATTGCAACTCACATTGTAGTATTTGGCTGCCTGGATGCGGTAGGGCATACATTTGGCACATATGGCACATTTGGCACATACCCCTCCGGACACCCACTAGGGACACACCTAGTGGAAGTATTTCTACATATATCACTATCATTACACATAAGGGAAATGCTATTTACTGGCAGGGGTAGGGGAAAATTGGGTCAAGCCTGTGATGTGACATCTTACCTGCAGAACTCTCTTGGTCAGCCCTGTTTTCTGGGCAAGCTGCTTGAGGTCCTTGGCATCTGGGTTGTGGTTGATAGCAAAGTAGGACTTCATGGTACGAAGCTGGTGGTGTTTGAACGAGGTGCGCATGCGCTTTGTCTTCTGGGAAGGGGGATAAGGCTGCTGGTCTCTGTCCAGGTGATCTGCCTCGTTCTCATTACAACCTGTTCAATAAACAAAATGAAACCAGGAGTTAGTGGCCATGCATCAGGTAGGGTAAATGATAGAGGCAAAAATCTTGAGTCACATACTGTTTGGAAGAAAAGAAACAAGCAAAAAAGGAAGAAAAGAAACAAGCAAAAAAGGAAGGAAAGAAAGAAGGAAGCAAGCAAGCAAGCAAGCAAAATAAGAAGGAAACAAATAAGGAAGGGCTAAGATGGTGCAAGAATAAGTAAAGATGTGGTAATTAAATGAGACAAAAAAAGATCCATAAGATTACATTTTCCTATTCTTAAACACAGCATGCCCCCCCAGCCTGTACCTGAACCTTAGAAAGTTCTCTCTCCTTTGGCATTTATTTTCAAACAAGTCTTTTTTCCTATGGTGATAGTTTTGCTTTGGGCATTCAAAGAGTCATTTGAAATCTCATTCAGATTTTGAAATCTCACTCATAGAAACACTCTTAGCTTGAGAGAACAATAAAGGTCAAACCAGCATTTTGAATGTTCCTGAGCTTTTCCCCCACATCACAAGCACCTATAAAAAGAGATGTACAGCAGGAAAGTTTGTTATGACAGTTTCTCCAGAAAGGGTTTTGTTGATAAAATAAATGCTCTTGGACTGTGCCTTGGAGTTTATATGAGCTGCTCAAAGACTTTTGTCTGTAAAACATGTCTAGAAAGCAGTTGCATCAAGGCTTGATTCAGTTCCCCAATCTCAACCCCAATCAGCAATAGCACTTAGTTGGTACTGATTTAAGATGTTTCCGTAAGCAACCAACTAGTGGCTCAAGACTTGAGAAGAGTTTTCCTGCTTTCTCTTATTAGGGATTTCCAAAGTGCCTATGAAAAATGGATTTGTTTCAGATTACACTTTGGTGGGTGTGAATTGTACACAAGAGTTATTCAGGGACCATGGCATCACTGCTTCTTATGAGGGAAAGAAATTGCAGTACTGGCAAAAAACAAAAACTCAGACATCTGTATTTTTATTTTCTGCTTTAAAAAAATACAAAAAAAAAAAAAAAACAAGCAAAAAAAATCCAAAGCTGTTATCAAGTCACAAGAATTCACAAGATCTCATATCTTTTATAAAGATAGCTCAGTCACAGATGAGGAAATTAATGGTGTCATCATAGCAGGGAATATTAATTAAAGAGCAGCTAATGAAAAATGTTTCAGAATGTCTGTAAACTACAGCAAATTTCATTAGTTGCCCATTTGAATTCTTGAACTGCTTTCCAACAATTGTTGGATTATTTACTAGGCCTAGTTGATCCTTAGTTCTAAAAGAAAAGAAAAGAGAGAGAGGAGAAAGAGGGAAAGCACCCAATACAGAAAGACTGATGTTGACAGGGCTAAAAACAGAGGCAAAGCAATCTGAAACTAGGAGAAAATAAAAAGCTTCTTGAAGGTGTTTTCTCTTTTGAATTATAAGACAAGTCAACATGAACAGATGCTGGTAAGTCAACACTCTGACAGAAAATCAGGTGAATATTTAATTATAGCTAGATTTACTTCTAGCCCTGTTAAGAAGTGTATCTGCACTTTCAAACAAAGTAAGCTGACACTTCTGAAAATACCAGGAGTTGAAAGTTGCTTTAAAAACAATTTCAGACCAGATTTGGTTTGTATTTACTACTTGTTTTCACAAGCAATCACACTGCCTTCAGTCAAACTATACGTGGGCTGTAACTTATGAGCTGACATAAATTAGAGTACCAGAATTCAGTCCTTGGGTTTTACTTCAGAGACTTCCAAGCTGTTTGTTTGTGTTGTTTTTCTTGGGTCGCTTTACAGCAGCAATGCAAACTTCTTTGGGCTCCTCTGTCCTGCTTACTGCCTTTGTTTCTGTGATGTACTTTTTTTGCCTGTGATCTACTTTAGCTTTCATTTTCAAGAGAAAATAGAAAGAGAGCTCCTAGTTTATACAACAGTTGTCTGACTCTGTTTTACATGGGTGAAACAGTGTTATGTGGTTTGGCCACAACATAGAGCAGAGTTTTACACTGTTGCCTGAATAACTAAGCAAAAGCAAAAAATGAGGCAAAGCTCATTTCTTTTCAGTGTATTGGGGGGGTTAATTTTGCTTTGGAAAGAGCTAGAACAGTTTGCTTTTTTATTGCCAAGAGTTGTTCAAGTGAACTCATCATAGTTTTGTCGCACACACGCATACATATATAGTGAAATAACGTAAACAGCTCTTTGAGCAACAGCTGTGTAAAATATTTTCCTAGGGAAATCTTCTTCACCATCTCATTTCTATATCCTGTGGGCTGTAAGTCAACATGGTTTCCCTCAAAATACATATTAATTCTATGATATAAGAGGTACTATAGAGAAAGCCTTCAATGTTTTAAGTACTTTTGAATAGTTTCTTCCATTTTTCACATTAACTCCAGACAGCTCGCAAGTATGAATGGCTTTTACCTCATAACATTTTGAGTTATTTATTGTTGTGTTTCCACTTTACAACCAAGGAGATGAGAAGCAGAAATTAAACTACTAAACAAAATACAGAATAGAAAAGCTGTTGTAGATCTGACAGCAGAATCTGATTTGCCTTTCTAGCCCTGTGCTTAGCTGCCCTGAAAGCAATGTTCTCACAAACCTGAGCAGGGTACTGCCAGGCCGCTGGTGAATGAATACACGTGTTTATGCGCAGCTTGGCGAAGCTGTTAGCCTAATCAGAGATCCGTTTTTAAAGGTCGGATTCCTTTCTAAGGGCTTGCCGCATCGATATGGGCACCCTAGGCTGTGAGCGGTTCGATAAACCCAGTAAACCTAGGCCTGGGTTCACTGGGGAAGTTAAACTGGCGGTTCTCACCAAACAGTGAGAGACGAGTAAACTTTAGCAGTGACTAAGTTGCCAGAGCCTAGGCTGAGTGCAGTCTCCTGGCCCATGTGCGCTTTAACGCGGATGCACGGAACAGGGTTGCGCCTGTGTCCCTCGGGTCTCCTGTCCGAGCCGGGGAGGTCGCGGAGATCCCGGACCGGGAGGGGAGAATCGCTCCGCTGCGAGCCCCACCGGCGGCCAACCGGCCCGCGGTGCCGGGGCCTCGGAGGAAAAGGACCGAGCTGCGAGGAGGAGGGAGTCCGGCTCCAGATCTTGCCCCACTTCTCCCTCTGAAGGCGGCAGTCAGGGGTCCAACATTTAATTTTCTGTGGACTGGTTGCCCTTTGTAAATGATTACGTGCATGAGCAGTTACTGAGTCACAGGCAGAATGGAAAATGCGTGTAGGACAGTGACTGCCAATTATTAAGAGATTTTTTTTTTTTTTTCTTTCAAGAAACGATTTCACCTACTGCAACTCATTTCGTAACTGTTACAGATTCGGTTACTCCCACTGGATCTGGAGCGCAGTAGGTCAATGGTTCTGGAGTCGTTCTCGCCGGATGTACAGTTTGGCTGCAAACTGTATTTTCTCGAGACCATGTGTCAACTCTGGCCATTTTTAGATAATACCTAAAAATAATAACAATAATCACGGCTCTAACAGATCAAATGTCTCCGCTGTCTAGCCTGCGTCCAAAGCAACACACTGCTTTTTTTTCTCTCCGTTGCCCCGAGGGTTTCTGTGAGATCTCGATGAAGTGAGCTGTATTTTCATAACGGGTAGTGCCTCTTAATCTCGTTTGAGTCAGAGGCACATTTTATATACCCCCTTGTTGTACAGAAGGGGAGTTTTAAGACTAACACACAAAAGCTATGACAGCGTTTGCACGTTATGTGTCTCTGGAGTCCTGACTTGAAGTTTAAGGCGTGTTTTATCATATCTACAACTTTTCACTTTTCCCTAAATTCTGGTCCTAATTCTAACGGAATTTACAGGGACAATTTAGTCCCTGCCAACATTTCCATCTCGGGATAGGGAGAATTAGAGTGGTGGGGTGCGGGTCAGACATAGCACAGAGTGAACGGGCGGGAAATACACCGCTCAGAGCCAGGATCGAACGAATCCTGAACCCTGGCTGCGCTGCGGGTTCCCTTTGCTTTAGGAGCTTTCAGGACTGGTTGGAAACCTCTCCGTAGCCAGGGATTCCAATGTCATCTTCAATTAACAAGGAACAATTAGCGCAGTGATTACCCTTGCTCCAAGGTCTCAGCACCAGAGGAGATGAAATGGCCTTGCAGAGCAGCCCGGTTCCCAGCTGCAGCAGTTCCGCGGGCAGCCCCGATTTGCTGCTCGGAGGGGAGGGAATGCCGGGGGAGGGTCGTTTAGGAATCTCAGTGGTGGCGGGTTGAACTTGGGTGGAGGGGAGAGACCTCCGGGTCGAAAGCGGTGCACTTTTATCGACCTGCGCTGGTTGGAAGGGGAGGGAGGCCCTGACTGATCCTCTCCCGGTTTTTCTGCAGGGCCAGTGCTCCGCCGCTGCCCAGAGAGGTGGTCAGGGGTCGGAGCTCCCCGGCTCCTGCTTTATAGGGAAGGGCCCTGCACCACCTTTACTTCCCACACCCTTCTTTACTCCTTACCGTTCACGGGGAGCCTGCGTTTCTCTAAAGCAATGTTTGGAGAAGGTAGCTTGTTAATTCGGGTTTCCCCTTACTGCTTTCGGATTCCATCTAATTAAACGCCACCTAAACTGCTTGACCATACCTGCAACCCCTGTACCTCTGGTCCCTAACACTGTGTGTTTAGACACGTTTTGGGTACTTCAGTACACTGAAGTTAGGGAAGATATTAATACAGGGCAACACTTGCTCCTTTCCTACCGTTGAAAGAGCAGAAAACATCCTTTATTACATTTGTTAGGACTTAGTTGCAGGGAACAACACTCGTTGGCCTCTTGTAATTTGTTCGTTTATCTGCCAGTAAAACAGAATTATTCAGCCTGAAAAGTTAGTTCTTATAAATTGGCTAAGTGGAATTATGTGCGTACTGCTTTGGCTTTGTAGGAGCCATGTACTATAACTTTTAATCTATTTTTTTTTTTCCGATCCGTTTGATCACCTCAAATTTGAGGTCTAACTGGTGAAATACTTTTTAATAATACTGAAATACAAATAATCATAACAGTATATCTGAAGTTCTTTTAGAGCAAGGGAGTTGTGTGTTTGGAGCTGGGATTTTTTTCTTTTTTTTTGTCTTTACCATGGGAAGTGCCTAACTTCGGGTGTTTGACATTAATAGGCAAAGACAGCCTTTGAGGAGGGCTGCTGTTAGCTTTCCTGCGAACTCTCCAGCCCTCAGAGGGCTGCTTGTTTGATTTTCCAATGGTTAAGCAGGATCTGGCCTGGCTGAGCTCCTCGCACACTGCCTAGCTAAGGGGAAGCCCGAAAATGCCCTTTTAGGGGAGTGGGAGGGAGGCTCGGCGTGTGTTTCCCACCTGAGTTGTAGGTGACGATGTCCACTCCCAAGGCAGGACTCTTTCGTTTCCTCGGCCTGCCCTTCTGGACCGTGCCCGTGCCGTTGAAGTAGGGCAGGGCCAGCCCTCCACTCTTGGCAGCCAGCTCGGTGTAGCTCAGCTGTGGGGGATATTCTCCTTGCAAAAGGGACTCGAAATGGGCCCTGCAGTAAACCAGGTTGTCCTTCATGCCAAAGTGATCCCCCGTGGTCAGAGTCTTGTTGCAGGTGGTGCAGGTGAAGCAGCTCAGGTGATAAACCGACTCCCTGGCTCTCATGACCATTTCAGAGGCTGAGATCCCAAGGTGGCAGCGGGCACATCTCTGCACAGAGAACCTTCTGAAGGAAACAGGAAAGTGGGCATCACCTAGAAAGGAGACGGCAGACCTCGCCCTGAGCCGCCCGCCTTCCCACCGGCCGCCGGGGTCTCTCCCTCCCATTCCGGGATGACCCTTGCTGCCTGCCATGGTCCCTGGCAGCCTGCTGCCGGCTCTCCGGCTGGTGGGAAATACCACTGGGGAATCAGCACTGGGGTCCCAGGGGGAACGCCTTGCTCCTTCTGCCAAGCTGATCTATTAGGTTCTCTTAGGACTTCTGCAAGAGCCCTCACGCTACTCCTGCTCATGGAAAAACGCGGAGGGGGAGAAACGAATCCCCGCTCTCCCGGCATCCGTGTAAAGACAAGAAGGGCAGCGGGAAAGCTGTAACGTACACATGCAACGAATGACCGGTCCCGCTGCCCGGCTGCTTGGCGGTACGGCTGCGGGGCTGTGCAGCGGACCGCGGGCTCAGCAGCTGCTGCCGCTTTCCCCGGGCCCTCTTCCCGGCAGCGGAAAAACTGACAGACTACTGGCGCAGAGAAACTTCTGCTGGGTCTTACGCTGGCGTTTGCGGAGGGAAACCGCAGAGCAGCGGGAGACCCGGGGTCTTCTGCGTCTGTTTGTGTACCGGTACACACGCTCACTCGGCGTGTCCCCTGCCGATCCTTTCAGGTTTTGAAAGCGCGAGACTTTTTGGAGGGGATACGTTTGCAGGATTTATCGCTGACAGCGAAAAGATACCTTTAAAAGCTCGTATGGATTAAGAAGCGCTTCGGTTCATAATGCCTTTTGAGGGGACGTACTTTTGAACCGGGGGGGGGGGGGGGGGGGGGCTTATTGCTGTACCTGTAGTAATCCTCCTTGCAGTAAATACTGCCGTCCTTGGCAAAGCAGGTGAGTTCTGACTCCAAAGCCAGTTTACATTCACAGCACTTAAGACACCTGAGGTGCCATTGTTTGTCAACAGCCAGCAGGTAATATCTGTCTGAGATCTTCCCTCCACAACCAGCACACAAAGCAGGCTTCTCGGGGCTCATTGGGGGCATGTTCTGCAAAACAACCACACCACAAGGAGATGAGACAGGGAGAGAAGGACAAGCGGGCAGCCCGGGCTGGGCACGGTGGCCGGTACACGGAGACTGACCGCTCGCTGGGACCGACGGCCTTCTCCCGGCGGGAAGTTTGAGGGGGAACCGGGACCATGCCCGCTAGGGAACCGTTTACCGCGATTCAGCTTTCGTGTTTATCCCATTAAACCTCTCTTAGCGATCTAATGTCATTTCAATATGCGAAGACAACTGATTAGGCCTCAGGAAGAAAAGTAGAGCCCATTTTTTGCTGAGGTACCGAACTTAAAGCCTGTAGTTTCCCCCTTACTTTGCCGTTTTAGTGTTAGAGCACTCCCCAAGAAAGGTATTTTAAAGTAGAAAAACACCGGTTTGCTGCACCAGAACTTTATGGCAGAGGATGCAGGCTTGCCCCGACTTTCCAGTAAATTTTCAGCCGCTTTTAAACGAGCCAAAACCTCCGTCTCCAAAGCAAGCCAATCCATTTAAAACAAGAGCAACAGAAAGGGGACAGGTGGATGGTGTAAAGAGTGAGCGACAACGCTCTCTCCACAGGGACGTGGGCACAGACTGGTGTCAGCTAAACCTGGCGTGTTTTCATCAGGAAACTTCTTCAAGTTCCCGTTAATCTGCTCCCCACGAGGAGTGTCGCTCGGGACAAAGGGAGACGGAGGGACCGCCGAGACAAAAGCTCTGCCGGGAAACCCGGGGCAGCGTTTGCTGATAAACGGGGGGGGGGGGGGGGGAAGAAATCTTGCTCTAAAGTCGCAACTTGTTTAAAAGTGGCAACTCCGCAATCATTTTTCAATCTGAAGCTCTTCCACGCCCTTCTTTTCTCTTTTACTTTTTTATTTTTAGCAATTGGAAAGGCGAGTTAAATTTACATTGCAAATCCTCGTATTACAAAGCGGGAGTTTATTTAAGAGAAGGGGGGAAGGACCCTATGGCTCAAAGCCTCAAAGCAGTTTTCCAGGCCGTTACTTTGTGTGCAGAGCCTTGTGCGCGATCGGCGGAAGCCTTACAAGTTGGAAAAAAGGAGATCTCGCTTTGCACAAAACACAGCGTGACACTCAGTTTCTCCACCATCCCGTTAGTACATTTGTGGAGACTTTGGTCCTTTGAGTAAGAAAAGAATGTTACTGCTAAGCAAGGTAGTCGGCGCACATAACATTCAGAGAGAGCGGTGCCTCTTTGCATCAATCCCACATTTCGGACTAAAAATGGTTACGACAAGTAAGCGGCCGCGGTTTGCGGTTTAATTTAGGAGGTGCCAGGAATGAGGAAAAAAAGATACAGTACACCTCCGAAACTCCAGCTTGAGCCCGCTCGGGCAGGCAGAGCGGCCGCAGCGAGCCGAGCAGGCGCAGGGGCTGAAAAATCGCCCCGGTTACCAGCTAAAAAGCTTTCCTCCCGTTACTCCAGAGAGCACAAGCAAGGCATCGATTACACACATGCGTAACTGGGCCTGGCCGCAAGGCCCCTGGCACTACGGTGGGTGTACAGGGAGCCCCGAGAGGATTTCTGCAAGCGAGGGGTAGGAGGGAAGGGCAGAGAGAAGCAGCTCCTTTCTCTTCCCCAAAGCCAGAGGTTCCCTTCAAAAGGTGCCAGCTCCCTTCTTACCGTTTCTCGGCCGTTCATTTGTCCCCCTTTGGCCAGGCGGGACTCGGTCTTGGATCGCCTCTCCATCTCCTCCATGATTCCTTGGATGTGGCCTCCGGAGATCCCGTGGAAAAGCATGGCTGGGGGACGGAAAGGACAAGTATTTTCTTCTGCTCTGCACCCCACTATTTCCATATACAGACCCCAGAGTCTTTAGATCATCCAAAATGTTTACACAAAATGTTTGCACAGCGCAGGGAAGGAGGTTGCAACAGGAGCTTCTCTTTGCACAAGCACCGAGGGCTTCCTGAAGATGTGCAGAAAACAAACAAGGGGGAGGGGAGGAAATGTAATAATAATTAATTTTAAAAATAAAATAATAAAAGCGAGCTAAAGGATCTGATACTGTTCTGCAGAGCTGGGGCTCCTGACTGGAGAGACTTGGACCTAGGGCAATAGAATCGGTCGGGAAAGGATATAGTTTTGAATACAAAGAAAGCAAAAAGAAGTGCTATTTTCAGCAGTCCCCGGTTGCTTTAAAGTTCCCAGTGCCTGTAGGTTGGATTTGGGACTGCTGCTTTCCGGAGCTCTGTCCAATTTGTTAAGAGCCTAAAGCCAGCCCATTTTTGATAATTTAGTAGGAGGAGTTCTCTCCCTTGAGCTGCCACTGATTTTTATTCAGACAACAAAGACCTGTCATACTCCTCTCAACCCCTAGTGATGGGCAAGCAGTGACAAACATTACAGTCGGTCTGTGGGTGGGGTTTATTACCTCCCCCAAACACGGAGTCCCGGGAGTTGGCGGCGCCTGCCGAGGGGCAGGGTGGCCCGGGGGCCCTGTGCCGAGCCACGCCGGGGGGAAGCTCCGCTCCGCGGCCCCTCTGGCTGGCACCGACTCCGTCGCGGGGACGGGAGAGGGAAGAGAAGCGCCGCTGTGGGGCAGCCGCAGCGGGACGGAGCGGCCAGACTGCTGCCCGTTCCCCGCGTCCCCGGGCCCTGGCAGCCGCGGTCAGGAGGGAAGGCGGCCGCAGGCTTTGGCGGCCGGAGAGCAAAGCCCGCCCAGCTCCCGGGAGGATCGAAGGCTTACCCCCGCTTTACCAGCCCTGCTGCCGCCGGGGAGCGCCAATCCCGCGGGACCCGCCCGTATCCACAGCAGGACCTATGGTCCTCTCCGCTGGCTGCCCCGACGGGGCGGGCGGCGCGGTACGGGAACGTGCTGGCGGGGCTCTGTCTCCTTGCTCGCTCCCCGGCTGCAGGCTGAGAGCGCTCATTGTGTGCGGGGGACCCAGAGATACATTCCTTCCCGACTAATCTCTTTCTCTGCTCCCCCTCCCCTCCTTTCTCCTTTTCCTACTTACTTTTCACACCACTCTTCCTTGCCTTTCCCTGGAACAGCTGCCGGCTGTTTCCTGACACCTCGATCCTTACTGAAGGATCTTCCTGGCGGCAGTTCTGCGCTCCCCTTTCCCTGGGGGACGCTCCACACCGAACCCGAGCGCGACTAGTGAAAGAAGTACCCCAGCCCCCACTTCCTTTCCAAAGCATCCCAAAGACATCCTCAGGGGCTCCTCGAGTCACCTCTTCCATGTAACCCAAGATTCAGGCAGCCAGTTTCCTCCCTTCTCTTTCCCCCTAAGTAGCTAAAATTAATGTTATTTGCAGATTGAATGTTGCTACATTCTGCCGAGTGCCAGAATACAGCTCATAAAACACAATTTCACACAAAGATGAAGTCAATCAAGTGAAATAAACTGGGTTTTTTTTTTCCTCTATTGGCACACTAGACCCTGGACAGCAGGGCTGCTATTTACTGTAAGTAATGTAATTAGCCCTTTTGGATGGAAATCAATGTGTTGTATATGTGTGTGTGTGTTTTAATAAGAGAGTAATAGCTATAAAACCAAAGGGACTCAAAGGGGTAAGGGAATCTCCTTTAAAACGGGTAGATCTCTCCACAAGCCATAATCTCCTGCAGAGCACTCCCGGTCTAGAATAAAAAAGGGAAAGAAAAAAAAAATAAGAGGGAGTGTGGGGGAGAAAACAGAAAACCTGTGTGTGGGGAAGGAGGAGGGGAGATAGGCTTTCCTTGGAGAAAACAAGTCAATTAGCACAATAAGCCATCAGGAAAAAATAAACAAGGTGATTCGATCCGGGATACGGGGAGCTATTCGCTAAGGATCCCCCGTTCCCGTCACCCTTCCGAGATGCCCCGGCTGCTCCGGGAGACTGGAGAAGCCACTTTCCCCCCCTCCCTTCCCGGGTCCCGCGGAGGCAGCGGGAGCGCAGCCGCAGCCCGCCCGGGATGGCGGGAACAGGAGAGGCGGTGCGGGGGGGAGCGACACACGGGGACGCCTGTCGGAGAAGGGCTTGCTGTCCGCAAACCCTGCTTCCACAGTCGTGTGCCTACCTGGCGTGTGGGGTTGTGTTGGCGGCTGTCAGCACAGGTGAAAAACCCCTCACCTAGAGAAGAGTTTATTCCCGATAGCTGCAGTATAACCCTTCCACTCTCCTGGCACGTTCGGGTTTGGTTTCGTTTATTTCCCTTTGAACGAAATATTCCTGTATGCCCGTCCAGGTATTTTGTCAGGGGTAACTCGCGCTGCCTCAGCTTCGGGCTGCTCCTGCTCCTCGGTGCTGGCTCCGCGAGTCCCACGGTGCCCGCGTTGCGAGAGCCACCCGCGTATGCCTGGCGGAGGTACCGCTGACACCCGCCGCCCCCCCCCCCTTCTTTCCCCCTCGTACTCCCCACGGCCGCGCCTGGCCATGACCGTGTCCCTGCCGCTCTGAGGACGGTCATACTCATCGCGCCCTCTGGGAGCGGGGAAAGGAGAGGTTTAGGGGAGCCCCTTGGGGGGCGCTGGGCCCAGCTCCCTCAGGGCAGCTAAAGCAGGGGCAGCTCGTCCTCCGAGCGCACACCAATCCTGTCTCTTTCGGCCTCTCTGCAGTTTGCTGTCTCGGGCTTTCCGAGGTGCTGTCCACAGGTGCAGCGCCAAAGCGTCCATCCAAGCCCGAGACACCAAAGTCACTGCTTGTTAAATTCCCGTCTCTACCTGAGCTCGACGGCGCCGTTAGGAATACCTGGGCAGATTCATAACCAAAGTCCGAAATGACTGAACTTCCTCCGGTTGGGCACACTTAATTAATTAGAGGGTCCTTCCTTTCTGCTCCACCAGGTACGGTTAGGGATATGCTACTAGCTACTGCTGCTCCAGTACGAGGCCAGGGCTTTCCCAGACGTTTTCTGATCAATATCCTAATGTTGGCAGACCAGTTCTTACCTAAAGGGACACGAAAAGTTTATTGCTAGCATCAAACGTGACTTCTCCGTTTTCAAAAGGCCTGTAGGAGATCAAGGTAAATCTATTTCAATGTTCCTGAGCTCTCCTTCCTCGCGTCAAACGGGAACATGTCTGCTCCAAGGCAGGCTGGTAGCGAAAGGTTGCCGCTGCGGAACGGGGGTCTCTACATGGGTTTGCTGGTTTGCTTGGGGAGGGGAAAGAACAGCTCACAAAGAGCACGACAGGGAATCTGAAATCCAAATCGACCGGTTTTATCCCTTACGAATCCATCTGCATTAGCACTTCGCCTCTGAAACGTAGGTTCTCATTGAAGGGTGCTTTTACCCCCTTCTGCCGCAGCCTTTTGGGAAGGGTACCTCGTGCAATTTTCAGAACGTTTTAGTAACATGACAGGCGCTCTCAGGCTTTTCCTTTCTGTGAGGCCATACCCGGACTCCCCAGCTAACGAGGATGAGGGGGAACAAACACATCGCTGCTGGGATTTCCACAGGTAAAGCGTCTGCCTCGCCGGCTGCCCCCCTGCCCGGAGCCGTTTCCACCTTTGTAATTAGCGTGTGCCCTGCATAGATTTCAGCATGCGGTCACTGAGATCCGCTTTGCGATACAGCCCTTATTCTTCCTGGCCACGGGCTACGCTCTAAAGCCTATTACAGCGTGAACGAGCTTGCGTTTAGTTCTGAGGATTTAGGACAAGGTCTACATGCAAATTAATAATTGACCAACAGTAATTAGAAGAAAGGGGAGGGCGTTCAGGCGGCGGGGGGGGGGGGGGGGGGGAGGGGGATGTTCTTTGAGCCGGAATGGTGTGGATTTAGTCCATCCTAGATGAGGCCATCTCTTGTCCCAGGCTGCAGGCGCCAGGTCAGCAAGCCTCCTGCCCCGTAAGGGCAGCAGAAAGAACTTCACACGTCTCCATCAGGTACCTGAACTTCTCAAGACACTTCCAGTTTAATTATTTCCAGAAATTTAAAGCTCGTAGTAATAACAGCATCAAGATTAAGGTCCTGTTGCCTGCGAGTCGGGTGGTTAAAGCCAGGTCTATTTTTAAATCCTAACTATTTTCTGCTCTGACAGCTTGTGGCGAAATACAGTGCTAATAATGATCACCCTCATCTCTTTGTGAAGTCTGCGGCTAGTACGAGCAATCTAGACACAAAGAAGGAAAATCTGAATAGAGTTACATCTCTCGGCGGGGGCATCAAATGTAGTTAACGTCGTTTTCAGCATTTAAATGGATTTGGGGGGGTGTTTTGGTTGCTGTTTGTTCGGTTTGTTTTTTGTTGTTGTTGTTGTTGTTTTTTGTTTGTTTGTCTGTTTTTTTTTTTTTAATTTTAATTCCGGCATTATTTAGAATTCCACGTCTTTATCCTGCCCTGAGCCTTCCCGAGTGTACCGCAGGTCAATTTTGGGACTCCCGTGCTAGGAAGGCGGGGAGGACAAGTGCACTGCCGCCCCTCTTACCCCCCGGGCGGCACGAGCAACACTAGCCCAGGGCATCTTGAACAGTAAGGATCACCGAATTGAAAACCCCAAACCTCCAACATGTTTATACCTCTCGGTAATCTGAAAACATGTAAAATAATCCACTCATTCATTTGCTTAAGGAGATGATATTTAAACAATAAACAATTAGGTACTTTGCATAGTAATCCTAGACACATAGCCGAGTGCTGTGACTGACCACAAACAAGTAAGCACACGGCCAGAAGAAAGCGGGAGAGGCGGATTATTGTCTAACACAGAACTGTTCACCGCCCAGGACCTCAGCATTATTAGCTTCTTAGCTGTCTGATACTAACCGTAACCGTGTTTGCACTCCGCTTGTAAAGAAGCCATTGGAAACTATCATATTCTGATGCTTTTGAAAAGGACTCTCTTACAGTAGACTCTATTCACAGACAGGTGAAAGGAGCCACTCAATTGAAAATAATAATTAAATTTAAAAAGGCTAAAAAGAAAAAAATATATTAAGAAGACAGAAAAGAAAACAGTCTTTTTTCTTTTTATTTTTCCTTTCTTCTCTTTTTTCCTCCTTTTTTTCCCCCTAATTCAGCTGAATGGCTCAGTCTTCCTAGGCTGCTATTTCTCTAGATGAAAACACAGATACACCAAATGTTGTCTGCGAATACACCTGGGGAAACAACCGTTCTGTGATGTTTAAGAAAAAAAAAAAACAAAACAAACCCAAACGAGTCACCACGCCAAAGAAACACCCCGCAAATGACATCCGTGAGGTACAAATAGCGGCATCGCTAGCAAAGGCTCATGCAGAAGCTTACCTTGAGACCTTAGAAGCTTCTTCCAAAATTGTACCCTCCTTAATGAGTGATGAGGGATGGGTTTTGGATGGAGAAGAGACGCAATGATCTAGCCAGTAGATGGAGGTTGTTCCTTGTTCCTAGCAGAGGATCCCTATGTTAATTAAAATAAACAAGCTGCTTGGTGGAAAGATTCCCCCCCCCCCCTCCCCTCCATAGCCTCTAATATAGAATTGACGTGGATTTCTAACCTCTGACCTCTCCCATACACTTATACCTGCCTTTTATTTTCTGTTTCGAAATCTTTTCCAAAACCCAAATAGATAAATAAAGAAGAAGAATGAATGAAAGCAAAAATTAATCCCACCTCTCAATTTTGGCTGGTTTGCTGGATTTTCTTGATTAGCTGTCTCAGCTCCTCAGTAATCAGGTGAGGTGTTAATGGGGAGCTGGTTGTAAATAAAACTAATAAAGCAAAGAACATATTAGGAAATTAAAAAAAGGCGAGGACTGAGAGGCTGCTAAAAATACTGCAGCAAGCTGAGCGTTCCCCCATCATGTCGTTTTTTTCGTTCTGTGCTTATTCACAGCTGAGCAGCAAACCCCGTGTTGTTGCCATCTCGCCACATTTTTTTTCCTTTCAAATCGCACTGAACCAGCCATGGACGGCATCAACCCTTCCCACTTTCATAAAAAGCCTCTCAAATGGAGTCGCTAAACAGCAAACTTCAGCCTGATCTGATGTGATATGATATACGGATTCATGGAGCAACCTCGCTTTGCCAAACCCGATGAAACTGTGAGTTGTCATGCAATACTACGCAGTCAAACCTGGGGTAATTGTAAAAGTGAACCCAATTTAACCCATTAGAATAAAATCAGATGCCAAGATGAATCGGAATCATTGCTTCTTAGGTGACAGTACTGATGACAATTGATCCACCGGCTGAAAACAATAGAAAAATCGAGAGTCGGGAATCATTTCTCGTGCCTGGAGCCTCCCTCCTCAGAGAGGGGCGGGGGGGACACGCCGGAGCCGGAGGCGAGGAGGGAGCCGGACCCCGGCCGCTCCCGGGGGGGCTGCGGCGGGGCGGCTCCTGCAGGAAGGGGCTTTCGGCAAGGGCCGGGTGGCAGGGGAGCCCCTTCTGGAGCTGGAACACGAGATGACTCCGCGCTTTGGTTTTGTTTGCCTGTTTCCCTTAACTCCCGTGACAGTTTCAGTTCTTCTCACCTGAGCCATGTGACCATGAGGTCTACGTGGCCGGCTTGGTGATCTATTAGAAGATGGTAAAAAAAAGGCAAGCAAGGGATGCTAATGGCCTTCCGTGGAGCGGGTCAGGGAGCGGAGACCCGGCGATGTGCGGAGGGGGCAGGGCTCCGCTCCCCGCCAAAGTGCGCATCGCCGGGGGGGCTGGGGTCTGGCCGGGCGCCCCGCCGGCAGCCGGCGCTGCCAGCAGAGCGGAGATCGGCATGGCCGGGTCGCAGCGCGGTGTCACGGGGAGCCTCTTTCCCCGCCCCGGGCTCCCCCGCTGCCGAGGCCCCACGGCAGCACCGCGCCCGCCCTCCCGCGGGCAGGGCTTGGAGAGCAGCGGGGGGGGGGGGGGGGGGCGCAGGCACTGCTAACGGGGACCTGCGACGAGAGAGCAGGCCAGCTGACAGTAGCTCACCTGGAGAGCCCAGCCAGGGAGGTGGCGGACTGGGGGGGGGGGGGGGGGGGGAGCGCTGCTGGCCGAGAACAGAAAAGCCGCAGTATCTCCCTGCAGGAGGAGTGGGTTTGGGGCAGGTGAGTGGCAGCTCTGAGCACGCAGTTTGCTTTGCCGGATCCGGGGTCGTGCAAGCCCGTCTTGCTCCCATGGTCTGGATCGCGAGCACTTTCACAATAAGGTGTTAATGAAATCCACTGTCGAGTAGGAAGTTTAAAGCCATTCCAGGCAAAAGAGGGAGCACCGTCGGGCAGGATTAGCTGAACCCGTCGGTCCGTGCCAGGACTGGGAGGTGGCTGACCGCGCCTTGAGAGTGAGGTGCCTTCATGGGACTTGCTCTCTTCTTAAGTTTCCCTGAGACAGCAGCCGACATCCGCGCCAAGGTACAAGAGTAATAATTACTATTGTCATCATAATCACCACGGTTGTTATTGCTGCTACTTTGCCGGAGGGCGCAGGGGCCCGGGGCTCTGGGGAGCCCGGCCCGGCTGGGCAGAGCAGTCGCTGACTCTTCCCTGCTCCTCCGCTTACTCTCCAAAGCGGATAAAATATTTTTTTTTCCCCAATTACCGGTGCCCTAATGGGAACAGGCGGCAGAGGAATATGCGAGGCTTATAATAAGCCACCTGCTGCCTCGCACCTAACTATTGTCATGCTTTATTTCATTATTACTGCCGTGGAGGTCACATACGCGCACATGGCGTTACAGATTCCCCACCTAGCAGGACGGCCGGGAGCGGAGGCCGAGCGGTGGCAGGGCGAGCGGTAGCCAGTGGCCCTTCAGCCGGAGCGACCGGCGCACGGAGCCGGGACTCGCCGGCGGCACTTCGCAGTGGGGCTGAGCTCAGCCCGCATCCCCGGGGCGCACAGCTCACCGGGTGCCTTTATAGCTGTCTCTCCCCGCCATGACCCCCCTCTCCGTCTATTTGCATGCACACGCGAAGCTATATAAACAGCGGTAATAGCCTCATACGTTAAGTCACTATTTGTTAGTACGGCTATTCCAAGTCATTTCCGATATTTAAACAGCGTTCACTGTAGCTTCAACCTATTGACTTGCCAGACGAGATGTTCATGTGGACCCGGTTGCTAAAACGATGGAAACAGACTTTAGCTTTAAACTGTGCTACCCTCCCATCTGACGGATGTTAATACACAAACGAAATCCATTTGGATGTTTTCTGTTACCAGAAGGCAGCGCTGACGTTCAAATGATCTAAGTCTTAGCATCTGGAAGACTGTGCAAGCATCTTTTTGGAATAGGTTTCAAGACATTACGTTCATCCAAAGCTGAGGAAGGACCAAAATGGGACGCCAAGCAAATAACAATAGTTTCCCGTCTAAATGAAACTGTCTGCTTCATTTGAAAGTACATAAATGGAAAGAAAAATACCCTTGCCTTTTGCAACATCCAGTCCCGCCGGGTGACCCCACTCCCTCCTAAACAAGGTCCCTACCGGCGCACTCCCTGGCTCCAGGTTCTTGCCCAGGGTTAGCCGGGGAAAGGGGTAAGGAGGAGCTGAGACCGGCTCAGTTTAGGGGTACCCGTCGGGCCTGGGCTTCTGTGGGGCTCTCTGGGGGCAGCAATTCATCAACACGGTTGATAGGGCATCTTTCGGGAGTACCGTTTAGCCTTAATGAAGATCTGTGAGAAAAGTCGTGCGAGACACTAAATACGGTAGTCCGGATATCAATAACTCTAGCAGGAAATAAAGGGGAACTTTCGTGTTAATGAAACAAAGATGAAGAAGCTCCTGGCAAGGTTGCCTCTACCGTACAGGAGTGCTCGGTACCTCCTGGCTGCTCATGAATATCTGTAGTGCGCTTTACACTTTATATTATGTTTGCAAACAGAATTGTTTTGTCTTTCAAAGGCTTTTACAAACTTGGACACCAAACAGACCGATGTTCAATCAAATACAAAGAATTTAAATTATTCAGGAACCTAAGCGATTCTGTGGAGCCTTTCTTTCTCCCATCCCCCATCTCAGTGCCGGGGGTTTAATCCGGTAATGAGTGTGTCAGGGAGACTCCTAGTCCCTGCCCCACGGCTGCAGGATCCCCCAACCCCCGGCCCCCCAGAGACCCGTGGCGGGACCCCGGGCTCGGCCTGCAGTCGACGGCTCCCCCGGCCTCTCTTCTGAAGGGCTCCTGGCCGGATGGCGCTCTGCTGCTTCGGCATCTCCAGACTCATCGCACAAGGAGGCCGGAGCATCCCCCGGCGCCCCGAACGGGACGGGCTCACGCCCGAGGGAGAACAGCCCGGGGCACCCACAGCTGCCGGTGGGGAGCAGCGCCCGGTGCTCACATCAACACAACACAGCACAACACACAACACAACGTCCCTCCCCGCTCCTCCCTCCCTCCCTCCCGAAACTCCTGGGCGTACCACAGTCGTCTTGGACATCACGGCGCATACAAAAGCAACGTTAAATAAATCCGTGGAGTTTTAATGAGTGCATATGCTGGCTCTCTTAGTTTGCTTTAAAGTGAAATCCACCGTATTATGAGATTCTAACCCGTTACTTGTAGTTCAGAAGGGGGATCAACAATGCGGCATCCGAAACACACGTGCACATATGGTTCAGTTTGTGTTTTATTACAATTAAAATGCATTCACTGGGAGCCAGGATCAGGTACAGCAAACGCCAGTATTTCAACTGTGGAAGCCACAAAGGGCTGATGGGCTTTGGTTTCACAGGGTGGAAGATGTTAATATTCACACATTAGAAAGCGTAAGTGAGTTGAAGCTCTTCTTTTTGGGCTGGTCGTTCCCGTTAAGTTGCTCATATGGACACTGGAGGAGAAATAAAACAAGTCTTTACTGCATTGCGCAGTAATCAGTATGGAAAACCCAACCCTGCTTATGGTTAACAAGAATTGTTAATGATGTATAAATCATTTGATCTATTGTGCCCTCCAGACTAAAAGGAAAATAATGGCAACCCCAAGCAAATGGTCTTAATTAGTGTCCAAGAAACCACTTCCTAAATGTAGCCTTCCAACTCATTCCAGTTTGACCATCCAGAGCAATCTTTTGTTCTTAAATTTCTTTATTTTGTGTAGCTGCTAAAATGCTGTGCACACCCGAGCACACAGCACCAGAAGCAGAAGAGCGGACGAGAGGTGGTCCCGGTCTCTCAGTGTCGCCTGTAAAAAGGTCTTGACCATCTGAAATTTTATTTCTCCAAAGCCTCGCCTCCTGCCAAGTCTCCTTAGAGAAGTACCGAAGTGTATTTAATCAGGAAAACAAGTCTGTGCCGCCACTCAAATGGCAACACAAGCTTAAAAAAGGAAAAGCTAAAACGGACCCAGGACCAAGCCATGCATGTTCGAGCTGTCTATCACACGCTTTCACCCACTCTTCCCACCGCTTTAAAGTGTTATCTCTAAGTTAAACACACTGTGGGTATAACCATATATACCACACTTGATGTGGTACCCGAGTGAAGATTTCAGCTCGAAGGGGGAGCAACCAGAGCCTAGCTAGTGGACTGTTGTGGCCTTGAGCTCGGCTCCACGGAAAGCAGGAAAACTGGGGCTTCTTGCTCCCACGGGAGGCCTCTTTCTTGGATGTATGAAATACAAACTGCAATTTCTCATTAGCTGCAGTACCAGATCCTGATGCTTCATGAAAATCACCCACCCTTCCACCGAAACCCACACTTCTGTCACTTCCCTATCCCACTACAAAACATAATTCCTGAAGTTTAAGCACAGTGCTGAAAAACTGAACTTCCTTGGAGACAAAACCAGTCTTGATCTACCTTTTCCCTTTTTTTTTTCCAAGGGGAAACTTATTAGAAACAGACTTTCTTACATGCTGGTTCTCTTCCTAGACGTGATGGACTTGCCAAAAGGAACAGAACTTCGCTAAAACCACCGTCAACTAAATAACTCCTGTGCACTGCTCTTCATGCTATTTCCAAGAGATACTGGTAATGTGACGAGCTGCAATATTTTATTTTAACTTTAAGAAAATCTGTCAACGACCTTCCCTGGACTTTAAACGTCCTTGACTCGTTTAAAGTCACCGTGAAACACAGAAGATGGTTTGCCAGCTCTTACTACCCCAGCATTAAGTGATTTTACAAAGTCACAAAGACAACATGCAAGCCGGCGCCGAAAGGCAAAGGCTTCATACTCACAAGTTTGCATTCAGAGTCACCGCATTTACCTCTCTGCAAGTGGGCACC